CTCTGTACTAGTCTATTAAGCCTGACAGGAGTAGATTATCAGAAACTGGTAGGCCTATTCCAGGGGTAGGCAACCTTGGCTCTTTTATGACTCGTGGACTTCAACTCCCAGAATTCCTGAGCCAGCATGAGGGAAACTTTTGCCCCTTCATGACTGGTGGACTTCAACTCCCAGAATTCCTGAGCCAGCATGGCTCAGCTTGGAAACCTCTCCCTTTCCCCTCAGCATGGCTGGCTCAGGAATTCTGGGAGTTGAAGTCCACGAGTCAGAAAAGAGCCAAGGTTGTCTACCCCTGTCCTAGGTCTTCCCTGACTTGATACCTAATTGTGGCATTATTGACTTCTGTTAATCAGCCATGGAAAACATTTTAGTTAGAGCAACTGTGTCAGCCTCACCAGGCTCATTCCCATATATTTTTGCCAAGAGAATAATAACCAAATCCTTCCCCAAAGCAAAAATACAAACATTAGCCTCACTAATCTTTCAGCAGATGTTGTTATCCTCCTTTTCCTGCTCTTTTTTTTCTCCATGTTGGGAAAACCTGGACCAAATCAGTAACTCCTGGCACTTCCATGCAGCCCGTTTTCATTCCTCAAACCATGGAGTCCTTGGTGCTCTCTGAGCTTGGCTGTTTTCTTGCAGATGTTGTTTTACCCAACTAGGTAAATATCTTCAGTGCACTGACGATGTTACCTGGTTGGGTAATGAAAAGGCTGCAAGAAAACCACCAAGCTCGGAGAGCACCAAGGACTCCATAGTTCAACGCTGAGCTACAAATTCCTCAGTCCTTCAGAATCATTTCTGCCTGATCTGCCTAATCCTCATCAAGCAGAGAACCAACTGAAGAGTCCTGGAGAGCATTTCCACTGAGCAACATAAGAATCCCAAAAAGTGATGGCTAGCCAACTAGCTTTTTAAAACAGTATCACTGCAAAGGAGGATATTAATGCCACTCCTCTGCTCCGTTGGAGAATATGTTGTAAGAATAGCATGGCATTGGAGCAGGGGTAGGCAACCTTGGCTCTTTTATGACTCGTGGACTTCAACTCCCAGAATTCCTGATCCAGCATGAGGGAAACTTTGGACCCTTCATGACTCGTGGACTTCAACTCCCAGAATTCCTGAGCCAGCCATGCTGAGGGGAAAGGGAGAGGTTTCCAAGCTGAGCCATGCTGGCTCAGGAATTCTGGGAGTTGAAGTCCACGAGTCATGGAGGGGCCATAGTTCCCCCATGCTGGCTCAGGAATTCTGGGAGTTGAAGTCCACGAGTCATGAAGGGGCCTAGGTCAGGGGTAGGCAACCTTGGCTCTTTTATGACTCATGGACTTCAATTCCCAGAATTCCTGAGCCAGCATGAGGGAAACTTTGGCCCCTTCATGACTCGTGGACTTCAACTCCCAGAATTCCTGAGCCAGCCATGCTGAGGGGAAAGGGAGAGGTTTCCAAGCTGAGCCATGCTGGCTGAGGAATTCTGGGAGTTGAAGTCCACGAGTCATAAAAGAGCCAAGGTTGCCTACCCCTGCATTAGAGCATTTCAAGCTGTGGAAGAGGAAGGGCATTTGAGGGCACAGCTGAGAAGGTGGAACAAGAGTTCCTCCAGTGAGAAAGTGCCCCCTTTAAGCTTTGTGTTTCTGCTGCAAAACTGCACACACAGCATTTTTGTTTCTTGCACCATAGCTGACCCAGAAATTAATTGGTTCAGCTACCATAGCTAGAGGGCCAGGCTAGTATACAGTACAGCGATGCATTTCGACACATTGGCTAAAACATACTGCAATTGATATGTTCCCTTTTGCTAATGGACCCCAATCTTCCCAAACTTTTCAGGGAATCAACCTTTGTGCCCCACAGCCCCAAAGAGCTTACAAAGTGGAGGAAAAGATGTCTTTTATCATGAACCTCCCTGCCTTGCTCATTGTCAGAAAAACACTTTGCTTTTAAAAGAAATCCAGCAAGGAGAAATTGGCAAGTGGCTTAAGTGCTCTCACCTATTAATAACATAAAATTATAGGGCTGGAGGGGACCTTGGAGGTCTTCTAGTCCAACCCCCTGCTCAAGGCAGGAGACCGGATGCCATCCAGGTCAAATGGTTGTCCAGTCTACTTTTGAAAATCTCCAGCGATGGAGCACCCACAACGCTGGGATGCAAGCTGTTTCATTGACTAATTGTTCTCACTGTCAGAAAAATTATTCCTTCGTTCTAGGTTGGATCTCCCTTTAACAAGCTTTCACCCGTTACTTCTTGTCTTGCCTTCTGGTGCTTTGGAGAATAAGTCAATCCCCTCTCCTCTGTGACAGCCCCTCAAGTATTGGAAGACAGTTACAGTATTACTCTCTTCAGTAGGCTAGACACACCTTCCCTCAACTGTTCGTCATATGATTTAGCTTCCAGACCCTTTATCATCTTTGTTGCTCTTCTCTGCATACTTTCTAGTTTCTCAGCATCTTTTCTGCATTGTGGTGAGTAGAACTGGATGCGATATTCCAAGTGTGGCCTCACTAGTGGGGCATAAAGCTGTATTATCACTTCTCATGATCTTGATGCTCTCCCTCTGTTGATGCAGCCCAGGACTGCATTTGCTTTTTGGGCAGCTGCAACACACCACTGGCTCATAGTTAAGTGGTGGTCCACTAGGACAGGGCTTTTCAACCTTTTCACAGACTGTACCACCTTTAGGACATGACAATATTCGAGTACCACCAGTGGCTTAGGAAGATGTAAAAAAATTAATGACAAAAACAAAAAGGGAAAAAGTAGTAATGATTACCTTATCACAGAAATATTCATATGTCTAATAATTTAGCTGTTGTGCAACCAACTTCCACACGCAAGGTGTTCAGTGAGCTGCTCATTTTTCAGTTAAAGCACTGCTGCTTCAGACCTTTTTCTGATGTGACTGCCTAGCTCAGTGTTTCTCAACCTTGACAATTTTAAGGCATGTGGACTTCAACTCCCAGAATTCCACAGCCAGCATTGCTGGCTGTGGAATTCTGGGAGTTGAAGTCCACATGCCTTAAAATTGTCAAGGTTGAGAAACACTGCGGCCTAGCTACATAGGAGTATCTGCTCCCACCCACAAAACTGCACTGAAGAATTTCACATATTTTATTCAGGTTGAGAGCACCTTTCTAAGTACTTTTCAGAAAGCAATAGATATCCTTCTCCAAAACCACCTGATTTACATAGAGATCATTCATGGTCCCATAACCCACCCTGCTTTTGTCTGAGAGAAGAAGTTCCTACAGAAGATCAATTCTGACAGACAGGCCGGTTGCAACCCTCTCAAATTAATGCTGAACTTCAACACCACAGCCACAGGTAGAAGGACCATACTGGGTAGATTGAGGGGAAATATACCCCAGCAAATATGAATGGGCAGAGATTCCCAGTTCATCTTAAGGCAACCATAAACAAAAAGAGTAAAACGTACTGTTTTATTGAAATAAAAAATTCTGGACCAACGAGCAAACTCTGAGCCATAGTTAATAAAACAGGAAAGGCAACAGGCTCCTTCTGAAGAATCCAGATATCTTTCCAGGGTTTCTACAAGTCCATTTTTCAAGACAAAAATGACCAGTCCATAATTAGAGATGACTCCCAGCACCTTCGGTTGCATTCCCAGGAGATTAGCACCCTATTTCCCCCCATTTTAAAGGCCTCCACTCTTCCCCCCCACAAAAGGCCACCAAAAGGCCACATCCAATGTCTGTCCACCGAACTAAAAAAAGTTTTCCTATCCCTGCTCAGCCTTGCTCCAAACACAGCTTGCTCACTCACCCTCGGCCCGAAAACACGCGGCTTGCTCCGTCTCTCCTCACTGCTTTGCTAAGCCTCTTCTGTTCTCGCTCTTTCTCTCCCTTTCCCGCCAAAAACTGTCCCCTTTTATACCTACTCTTCTCCCCGCCCTCTTCTTCCTTTTCTCTTCCGGGTGCATTGGAAGCTCCAATTACCATATCGCCATGTGCGCCGATCCTGCGGCTTCTGCCAAGCTCTGCAGCTCCAGCTGATCTCCTGCAGGTCTGTGTTCCTTCCCCCGCTACACCAGGCTAGGGGTCGCGTACCACCTGCCAGGTGCTAAATACCACTGGTGGTACGCGTACCACCGGTTGAAAAGCCCTGCACTAGGACGGATCTCCAACCGTGGCAACTTTACGACTTGTGGACTTCAACTCCCAGAATTGCTCAGCCAGCCATGATGGCTGAGGAATTCTGGGAGTTGAAGTCCACAAGTCGCAAAGTTGCCAATTTTGGAGACCCCTGCACTAGGACATTTAGATTTCTCTCATAGTTGCTACCGTTGAGCCAGGAACCGCCCATTCTGTCCTTTTGCGTTTCACTGAACAGCATTTCCCAAACTATCACCCTTGTCCTTTCCTTGCATTGAAAGTGCAGGTAGTCCTTGACTTAACAACCATTCATTTAGTGACCATTTGAAGTTAACAACTGCACTGGAAAAAAAGGGACTTGTGATCATTTCTCACGGTTAAGGACCATTGCAGCATTCCCAAAATCATGTGGTCAAAATTTGGACGCACCCTAATTTGGCCGGGGAATTCTGGGAGTGGAAGTCCACAGACCTTAAAAGTTTCTGAGATTTAGAAACCCTGTTTTAGAAGGTTATAAGAAGGCTGCCTTTTTAATAAAGTGGCATGGTTCATTAAGGAGGAATTTTCTCCCTGCATTAGTCAGATACTGAAGGAAAAAGTCAGTGTGAGGACACCATGATTTCAGCCTGTTCAGATCGTTATCATCTTCCCCAAAGACATCCTGTTTTATTGTTGAAAAAGAAGCAGGGAAATAGCAAGCAACTTGAACGTACATCCTTTGTCTGATTTTGCTACCTGCAATTCTAGCTAATGACCAGGACGAGCCAATATAGATTACGCCCCACCGATTTTGAATCAATGCTCCCCATCCGTGTCAAAATACCGAAGCCGACATTTTTGTCTGAAAAGAGACGGCCCTCAGAAGGCAATCAAGAAAGAGTTGTTTTCTGCAAAACTTTATTGATACTGGTAAAACCCAATAAAGACTGGAAACATTCTGGAACAACTGGAACATTCCTCTGGCACCACTCTGGCTGCCAGCGAGAGTCTCCACTTTTCAGTATCCAGAGTTCAAAGGGCATCAATGCAGTGAACCCAAGCCAAAATCCAGCCATAGCACCAACGGCCTGCAGTAAGCAGTGGGTCCAGCATGGCTGGTGTCTTCTTCTTCACGCGCCTTCCCAGACAGCGGCAGTGGGCTTCTCCCCTGATCTAGTCTCTCTCCAGTTGCCGGTACTTTTTCCGTAGCACAGAGACCTGATCCTTGTACAGCACTGGGTCCAAGCGGAACTGAGAATGCACCAGAGGCATGTTGCCAAACCAGGCAGCAAAGTGATTGACGCACTCCTGGCGTTGTGCAAAATGTAGGCTGCTGTTGGATGGGGGTGCACTTTTCAGGAGCTTCAGGAACCGAGGAAAGACGAGGGAAAGAGACCAAGCATCATCATTAGACTAGATTTTTTATCCCACCTTTTATTACTTTATACAGTGTATCAATCTACATTATACCCCTGCTTCTTCCCATTTTCCACACAACCCTGTGAGGTGGGTTGGGCTGAGAGAGGGGGGTTGGACCAAAGCCACCCAGCTGGCTTTCATGCCTAAGGCAGGACTAGAACTCACGGTCTCCTGGAAATTGGCCCAAAGCAGGGTTCTTCAAACTTGGCCCTTTTATGACTTGTGGACTTCAACTCCCAGAATTCTGGGAGTTGAAGTCCACAAGTCATAAAAGGGCCAAGTTTGTAGAATCCTGGCCCAAAGTCACCCAATTGGCTTTCATGCCTAATGCTGGACTAGAACTCATGATCTCCTGTTTTTTAGCTAGCACCTTTACCATTACACGAAATGGCTTTCATTTCAATTTCGGGCACGTTGTTAGTGACATTCTGAACTGATACTGAATACAATTGCCCTCTTTCGCTTTCCAGAGTGAATGTTTCCTTGTACCAAACCTGATACAATTTTTTTTATTCAAATTCTGCATGAGGATGACAAAGATAACAGCTGCCTTCTTCTATTGCTCCTCAACAACTGGAATTGAGAGGTGAACTCCTTCTAAATGTGGAGCTTTTCACCTTTCTGTTTATCAGCCAGATACCCTAAGAACTTCAGGTATATACCCCTATCAAAAAAGTGGTCACGGTTCACACGTTCTGCCCACTGAAAAACTAACTCAGGTTCAAAAGAGCCTCTTGGACCTCTCTGCTAAGTATGGATTCCAAAGAGTAGCACAAGTCTGCTTTTTCCTTAAATCGGTGTGTCAATTCCCACCGTCAGTAGCCAATGCTGCCATTATGGGAGTGAAATCCTCACTTATCCAAAGGGCACCAAATGGGAGAAGTCTTACCTAAGTAATACTTAAAGGGCATCAAGAAGTGCTGGAAATAAAATATTTAAGACAGGAATAATTCCTTTCCTTTTCTCCTCTGCCCCCGCTCCATTTGTTCCCATCCATGCCTACCTACCTGCTGAGGTGGGCTCTCCCTGAGATGTTTCTTCTGGGTCACTTTGATGGGGGGCAATTTGGTTACAGCAGAAACCAGAAAGTTCATCAATATGTCCTCACAGTTGGCAATCTGATCAACAAAGCTCCTTAGTTTGGCAGGCAAATAGTTGCTGAAGAGGCTGTGATAGAACCTGTGGAAGGAAAACATAGGGGTGGGCAGAAAGAAGATCCCTGCAGAAACGTATAAGGCTCCCATCCTCAACCTGCTCCCTCCAGGTGTGTTTCCTGTACCACAATCTGTTTTTTAAAAATCATCTCAGAATACATAATTTAGAATGTTCTGGTTGAATATTAGATAAGAGCCATTAAATAGTAGAGTGCAGGTGGTTGAATTCAGTAGCTCCTTCCACTCTAGGATAGTATGCATTACCTACAAAATAAAGATGGGATAACAACAACAGGATTGCCAGCCCCTGAGGCTCAAGTAGGGCCCCGAAAACAGAGCCTTAAAAACCCAACATTTCTGAAGACTGGTTGCTGGAACAATGTTTTTCCAACTGCTTTCTGACCATATTCTAATTATCGTATTACATGCTTCTTTGCTGGACTGGAGAACTTTAGTTGAACCATATTTCTTAGTACATAAATAGACTAATCTTGTGGTGGCATCTTCTTCCTGACCCACTCCACTGTCCTTCAAAAAACCAGATGCCTAATTGTGTCAAGATTGCAACTCCCAGAATTCCCATCAAATATTAATAAAATGGCTGGTTAGAAAAGACAGATCTAGAAGTCATCAGTAAACAACAGCCTAATCAAGGAGTGACATGCACAGGCAAGTCACTCTTATATAAAAATAGAGCAAACCCTTCTAGCACTGCTTTTCCCGCCTTTTTCTACAAACTAAGGCGCCACCACATCCCTTTATTTCTCCACTTAGCCTCTGCAGAAAGAGCTAAATTGCAGATTTAATTTATAGAAATTTGGCTAAAAATATTTACACACAGGCTTGTAATCCACAGAGAGTTCAGTTTTAAAAATACCAATGCTTATATAGTCATAACCCAAAGGGAATATTCACCAATATGTTGTGAGGAAGGAGGAGAGTGGGGGCGAATCAGGTGAAAAGACTACTTCAACAGTAGTATATTTAAAGATAACTGAAGAGTGTAAGAACAGGTTAGAACTATATCCTCATAGAGAAAATCTATGTGATTGCGAGGAATCAAAAATGAATTGATGGCGCATAATCAAAGGATATTCATTTTTTTAGATGAAGGTTAAGGTGTATGTGAGAAAGAGACCCATAGTTTCAAGACCAATCCACACAGAATCTATTCAATGATCCAATGTTATAGTTACCACTGGATTCATTCTAAAGATATCAACCTCCCTGTTTATTCTTCAACCATTATCTAAAACAGGGGTCCTCAACCTTGGCAACTTGAAGACTTGTGGATGTCAATTCCCAGAATTCCTCAGCCAGCTTTGCTGGCTGAGGAATTCTGGGAGTTGACGTCCACAAGTCTTCAAGTTGCCAAGGTTGAGGACCCCTAATCTAAAAGATGCTTGATGTTCACCCAGAGATGTCCAGAACGCAACTGATGGAAGAACGGGCTTAAAAAGTATGAAAGCAGGTTCCAGTAGAAGGTTAGAGAGAGCTTCTCACAAACAACAATGTAAACAAATGACTAAGGGGGAAGCTTCAAGCAGAACCTGACAGTCATATCAGTTGGGATTCCAGCACTGAGTAGGACCTGAATTTGATCGCCTCAATGGGGTTTTTCCAACTGAAGGATACTCTTCAGTCAGGAAGGATACCTGTGATAGAATGCCGCTGCAGTGAGAACCATAGAGAACTCATTGGTCCATTTTGAAGTGTAGCTCCACTGGTTCTTGCTGGCATCCCAAAAATGGCTGCGCATTGGGAAGCCTACAATCTGGTTGGGGAAATTTCTCCATACGACAAAGGCAAAGTCAACCTAAAAGGAAGAGAGCAGGAAAACAATTGGAGAAAAGAGATTCTTTCATCAGAAGTCTTCATGGTGGTCTAGAGGAAGTCGTGTCTTCTACTTTCGAATTATATTCTTTCTTTTTTCCGAGTGGCATAATCTCTAGAGAAGGGGTGTCCAATCTTGGCAACTTTAAGACCGGTGGACTTCAACTCCCAGAGTTCCTCAACCAGCATGGCTTGGTGGGGAATTCTGGGAGTTGAAGTCCACAGGTTTGTAAAGTTGCCAAGACTGGACACCCCTGCTCTAGCTGTTAGCGTGAGGCATCCATAGTATGCATAATGTGTATCCACTTAAACATAAATAATAATAATAATAATAATAATAATAATAATAATAATAATAATAATAATAATAATAATAATAATAATAATAATAATAATAATGTTGGAAGGGAACTTGGAGGTCATCTAGTCCAACCCCCTGCTCAGGCAGGAAACCCTACACCATTTCGGACAAATGGCTGTCCAGTTTCTTCTTAAAAACTTCCAGTGTTGGAGCATTCACCGCTTCTGGAGGCAGGTGGTTCCACTGGTTAATTGTTCTAACTGTCAGGAAGTTTCTCCTTAGTTCTAGGTTGCTTCTCTCCTTGATTAGTTTCCATCCATTGCTTCTTGTCCTGCCTTCAGGCGCCTTGGAAAATAGCTTGACTCCCTCTTCTTTGTGGCAGCCCCTGAGATATTGAAAGGCTGCTATCATGTCCCCCCTCGTCCTTCTCTTCATTAAACTAGACATACCCAATTCCAGCAGCCTTTCCTTATATGTTTTAGCCTCCAATCCCCTAATCATCTTTGTTGCTCTTCTCTGCACTCTTTCTAGAGTCTCAACATCTTTTTTACATCGTGGTGACCAAAACTGGATGCAGGATTCCAAGTGTGGCCTTACCAAGGCCTTGTAAAGTGGTATTAACACTTCACGTGATCTTGATTCTATCCCTCTGTTAATGCAGCCCAGCACTGTGTTGGCCTTTTTGGCAGCTGCAGCACACTGCTGGCTCATCTTCTAGAAATTCCTAGAATTCCCACCTCTTGCCATGCTGACGGGCCATTCCAAAAGTAGTAATGAAAGGCATCAGGTTGGCAAAGACTGACCTAGTCTCACCAGCTGCAATTCTCCAGAATCAGCCACACTGTCTATTAACCAGTTCTGGAGATGTCCCCAATTAAAGCTAGAACCTTTTGCAAGCAGACCATGCAAAGATACTTATCTTTCCCTTTCCACATCTAAGCAAGCATTTTACAATGGGGAATCAGAGTCGGATAACTCATTAGACAAGAGAATTCCATATTTTAGTGTATATACGTATTTCCTTTTCCCCCATTTTTCTAAGTCAAACAATTTAAATTTCAATCATTTGATTGCAAAACATTGCATATACATATAGGTTTGCTTTGTCCAATAGGTAAGATATATACAATTTGGGGGACATCCCTAGCCCCCTCTTGGCCAAGATAGCTGCAGTGGATGGACTACCTCTCTGATCTTGGTTATTTTCTTGCAGACGTTTCATTACCCAAACTAGGTAATGAACGCTAGCATTGATGATGTTACCTAATCTGGGTAATGAAACATCTGCAAGAAAATAACCAAGATCAGAGAGTACTAAGGACCCCTCATTTCAACCTTCAGCTACAAATATTCTCCTTTATAGGGACTACTCAACTGTCCCAGGTTCCAGGCCTTCCCTGTGTTTAAGTAGTCATTTGTCCCTTATGCAAGCTCCATAGCTACAACATGAGTAGAAAGATAATAACAATGATGATAATGATGATGATAATAATAATAATGATGATGATGATGATGTTGGAAGGGCAGAAAACCCTATACCAGTGATGGCGAACCTTTTAGAGACTGAGTGCCCAAACTGCAACCCAAAACCCACTTATGCATCGTCGAGTGCCGGGTGGGTGTGGCCTATTGGGTGGGTGTGGCCCATTGGATGGGCGTGGCTGTGGTGGTAAAGGCAGACTGGGTGGGACTAAAAAGTTCAATCAATTCCAACTTTGCAAGATCTTTTTTTTTCCCGCGAGAAGTTGAAATTGACTGATTGAACCTTTTTTTTTTTTGCACACGGCGGTGGAGGCCTAAAGCGAAAAGGTTTTATAAAACCCAACTGAAGGCCTAGGACTGGGGCGACGGCGCGCGTGCCCACAGAGAGGGCTCTGAGTGCCGCCTCTGGCACCCGTGCCATACGTTCGCCACCACTGCCCTATACCATTTCAGACAAATGGCTGTCCAGTCTCTTCTTAAAAACTTCCAGCGTTGGAGCATTCACCGCTTCTGGAGGCAGGTTATTCCACTGGTTAATTGTTCTCACTGTCAGGAAGTTTCTCCTTAGTTCTAGGTTGCTTCTCTCCTTGATTAGTTTCCATCCGTTGTTTCTTGTCCTGCCTTCAAGTGCTTTGGAGAAGAGCTTGACTGCCTCTTCTTTGGAGCAGCCCCTGAGATATTGGAACACTGCTATCATGTCCCCCCTGGTCCTTCTCTTCATTAAACTAGACATACTAGATTCTGGAGAACTTTCTTACCTCACTGGTTGAAAGGCTGGTATATTCATCAAGACTCAACACAGCATCCGTTCCGATGGCAGAATAAGGCAAAAACCGTTCGCTGACCTGCAGGAGAAGAGAGAAGAAACAGAAAAGCACCTTCAAGGAAGAACCAGACAGGAAATCAAAGTCATTTATTTGTTTATTGTACAGATATGGGAGAGCCAGTTTGGTCTAGTGGTTAAGGCATCAGGCTAGGAACCAAGAGGCTGTGGGTTCTAGTCCCGCCTTATCTATGAAAGCTGATTGGTTGACCTTGGGTCAGTGGTTCTCAGCCCAACCCATCTCACAGGGTGATGGTTGTGGGGAATATAGGGAGGAGGAAGGTGTGCTCAATATGTTCACCACCTTGAATTATTTGTAAAACTATTAGAGGTGGGAGATAGATAGGTAGATAAAGAGAGAGAGAGAGAGAGTGAGAGAGATAATCTTCAGATAAATCTGAACGCACTTTCTCCCTCTCTCCACCTTATCTTCATGAGAACTGGGGTGGAGTTATCTGAGATGTTACTCATATTACTTTTCTGCTTTGTTTCTGCTGTTGGTAACTATTTCCTCTTGAATACTTGCCCACCAGGACATTTCTTTTGAAAATCGCAGAGTAAGAAAGGTCAAGTGGAAGATTTACTCTTGCCCATACATTGGTCTTTGGTTGAATGCTTGGAAAATGCACGTTGAATGATAAGGAGGAGAACTGGCTTTAAATGATAGGTCAGTGGTGGAGAACCTATGCCACGGGTGCCAGAGGCGGCACTCAGAGCCCTCTCTGGGGCACGCGCACTGTCGCCCCAGTCCTAGGCCTTCAGCTGCGTTTTATAAAACCTTTTCGCTTTAGGCCTCCGCCGCCTTGTGCAAAAAAAAAAAAAAGTTTAATCAATCAATCAATTTCAACTTCTCACGGGAAAAAAAAGATCTTGCAAAGTTGGAATTGATTGATTGAACTTTTTAGTCCCACCCAGTCTGCCGTTACCACCGAAGCCACGCTCACCCAATGGGCCACACCCACCCAGCACTCGATGCATAAGTGGGTTTTGGGTTGCAGTTTGGGCACTCGGTCTCTAAAAGGTTCGCCATCACTGTGATAAGTGAACCGGGGTGTTTAGAAAGCAGGATTCCTGCTGGAGTGTGGGCCTCAGCAGATTTTTCCCAAGTCTCCCCTTGTTAAAATATGACAACTACAACCATAATCTGGATGGCTTCTTACCTTGTTGCTCCTTAAAATGACAGTCAAGGGAACTGTGGTCGGCGTCCACTTCTGTGGAGGTGGCTTCTCGCAGCTCCATAAGACTAAAATCTGTACAAGAAACAGAAATGCCTGGTTAGCTAGCTGAAACGTGCAACAGAACAATCATTTTTTTTCATTTTGTGGCCCGTGCTGTACTTGTTTGTTTGTTTGTTCCTTCTGCAACTTAATTTGGCCGCCCATCTTAACCAATTAACTCTTGGCAACCAGCAAGGCTTACAAACAAAAACATACATATTTAAAAGAATTAAAAGATTAAAAGATGCTAGATAAAAAAATAACCCATTGCTCAATTCATTGCAGAACACAGCATACTATAAACAAATCAAGTCTTGCTAACATCCTGGCTCTAAATTCAGAAGGGAAAGCCAGGTTTTTAAGGCCTTCCAAAAGGCCTGAAGTGGGTTTAGTTGGTGGGGTGAAGAGATATTTCAATTTCTCCAGAAATGTTATTCTCCCAAAACCCCTGATTCCCCTAAAAATCAGACCGGGGCTTCAGGAGTGATATGAGTGCCTTAAGTCTAAGACATCCATCTTAAGATCCATCTTAAGACATCCATCTTAAGACACCCACTGCTATAACCCACCAACAAAACTCCAGAAAACAAGCAAAACCACTGAATGTTCTCCCTGACATCTCTGCTCGCTCTATAATGCCAACAAAATTCCAACACAGGGTGGGAAAAAAACCAAAACAGCCTAGGCCAGGGGTAGGCAACCTTGGCTCTTTTATGACTCGTGGACTTCAACTCCCAGAATTCCTGAGCCAGCATGGCTCAGCTTGGAAACCTCTCCCTTTCCCCTCAGCATGGCTGGCTCAGGAATTCTGGGAGTTGAAGTCCACCAGTCATAAAAGAGCCAAGGTTGCCTACCCCTGACCTAGGCTTTATAATCACCCTCTCCCATCAGGACTGCAAGACCCACTCTTCTTAGCCAAACTCGGCCAATTGCCAGCCTACTTGGGGATTATGGAAGCTGAAATCCATCTCTGGGGATCATCTCTGGGGTTGGAGAGGGACTACGTAAAGAGTTAGGCAGAAGACAATTTCACAAGGCTACCTTAGGAACATACCGTATTTTGGTTTTTCTGATGCAAACACCTCCAATGGCATGTCTCCTCCCATGAATGGGAAGGAACAAAACCTACTGGCACAGAACTTCATTGAAATGGGCATGAACTCTGCTTATTTCTATGAGTCTTATTTAAGAAAACACGCCGCAGACTCTTGTTGTGCTAAATCTACCTTGTTTGTATTGCGCTGCAGTACAAACAGTACCTCCTGCACCGATGTCTCAAAGCCACCCTCTTTGGGGTGGTCCTCTGGCTTTGTCTCATCCCCAGACTGCCTCGGGAATTTCAGCTTGTACAATTTTCCTTACCCTGCTTGGCCAGCTGCCCGAATCCCTGCTTTCAAACAGCAACTGGGGTTTGGAAGCAAGTATTCTTCTGTGCAAATGCCGCCACGTTTTGGCTCCAGAAGTCTAGTCTCAAGCCAGCATTTTAGGTTCATAGGAACGGTTGACCCCAAAATGTTAATGGTTTCCTGCAGCAAATCTAAATTATACAACCAAGGAGCAGCTAAAAAGTTGCTCTAGTTAGTAAAAGCATTTCAGTTGCTCATTATAAGGAAAGCGGCAGAAACGTTGATCTTTCTTAATGAAATTTTCCCACTTGATATATTTGAGATCTTTCTCGGAAATTGTTTTTCTAGGTGTGAGGTGAAAGGAAAGTCCTTTTAGCAGCAGCACTGTGAACATGGAACGTCCACCAACTATGAAACTCGATGGGCTGTGTTGTCCCATTTTTGCCCCCATAAAACCAGGCCGTGCAACTGACAGACAAAAGCTCTTCATACTGGTGGGGTACTAAAATGGGACTTGCAATTTCTCCGTTGCTTTCTTTCATTGGAAAGAGGTTTCTGCTTTTCTGCCTTATTTTCAGTTGCTTGAGAATTCCCTTCCAAGTTTTTTCTCTTGGAGCCTTGGTGGAATGTTGAAAGATAAAAATAATTGGCTTAGGATGGCAAACTGGGATCGGAATTTCTGTTGCTAAGTGATGCGGTTGTAAAGCACAATGTCACCTGACGGTGCCATGTAGCAATGATAGTTCTGGCAATTCCAGTTGTCATTTGTTTAAGCAAGGATCTCACGTAACGGTAACTTCCAGCTTTCGACTTCCTGCCGTCTTCCCCATGACTTTGCTTATGGGAAGCTAGTAGGGATTGTCAGAAATTGCAATTGTGCGACTGTGGGGATGCTGCAATGGCTGGAACTCCAAGGATTGGTCATAAATCCCCTTAATTTAGTACCATCATCATAACCTTTTTAATAAAGTGGCATGGTTCATTAAGAAGGATTTTCCACCCTGCTTTAGTCAGATATTGAAGAAAAAGTCAGTGTCAGGACACCATGATTTCAGCGTGTTCAGATCGTTAACATAACCCAAGGACTACCTGTACCCTTTTTGCTGCGTGCTTTCCCATTAGGCATTTTTCTATCATTCCGAAGCCTCCCTGCCCGTTTGCAATTCCCAACCTCATAACGCCTTAGAATAAGAGTCACTCCCAAACTGTCCCGCTGGGATTCAATGAAACCATGAGAAACCAGGAAGCAGACAACTTTTGGAGACTACTACTACCTCTACTAGGAAAGGCAGGACGCTCACATGTTCCCCTTGAGTGCCTCAGATCTAAACAAACGCAAGGCCATCACACTCTACCCAAGAGAATTTTGCAGACACGATCCTGATTTACTCCAATTGAATGAGGTTTTAAAAATGCAGGATTTGGCAGTAATTCGTATTGTGGGGCAGGACCAAACAATTGCCACTCAATCTTTCCAAAAGGAAAGCCAAGCTTTCATTGTTGATTTTTCTCTTCTTTTTTCGTTTCCTTTCTTTCTTCTGCCTCTGAATTACTTTGGACTCCTGGCAAGTAGGTGGACTCTGCAGTTTTCTGGGCAACATTTTTAGAAACAAATTGCTATTGCCTTCTCCCCAAGGTTGAGAGAGATTGGCCTCAGTACTAGTAGTTATGGTCTCCTAGCTTCTATCCAGCACCTTTAACCACTACACCCAATGGGCTCCTCTATAATATACTAGATTACACACCAATGCATGTTCCCTTAGTATTTTTACCGAAGTCAACTGATTTTTTCCTTCTAAAGCAGACAAGCTACAAGGACAGTGGGCTCAGACTCCAGAGTTCACATACTGAGAAGGCTCTGTTTACTGCCATACATTTTGAAATGCTCAGGATGGGCGCGGCCTGGTTAGCTGAGCTCATCTGCAGCACAGACGTGGCTGTTGACAGGACTTGCCCTGTAGTTAGAGGGGAAGGTGAGACTTGCTGACAGCAATAAAGGTTACTAGCCCACCCAGGTGTATCCTAAGGCTGCCACACCCACCACAACCCTCTGACATACAAGGGAATGGAAAAGGCACCAGAGCTTGGTGTGATTTTGTACAGCACAACTCTGGAAGATCGCACCTTCTAGCCATCTTCATAACAAGAGGTGGGAATGACAACGTGGAGCCTCAGAAGTCTGGATTAAGAGGGTAGCAAGGAGATGAGAGCTGCTATTAAACAGGAGAGTGGTGGGAAGGAGGCAATAGAAATTCGAGGTACAGGTAGTCCTTGATTTACAACAGTTCATTTAGTGACCATTCAAAGTTACAGCAGCACTGAAAAAAGTGACTTATGACTGTTTTTCACACTTAACGACTGTTGCAGCATCCCCAGGGTCACGTGATCAAAATTCAGGTGCTTGGCAAATGGTTCATAGTTATGACCGTTACTGTGTCCCAAGGTCATGTCATTTACCTTTTGCAGCCTTCTGACAAGCAAAGTCAATGGGGGAAGCCAGATTCACTTAACAACTGGGTTACTCGCTTACCAACTGCAGTGATTCTCTTAACAACGGTGGCAAGAAAGGTCGTAATAAAGGGCAAAACTCACTTAACAAATATCTCACTTAGCAACAGAAATTTTGGACTCAATTCTGGTCGTAAGGCGAGGACTACCTGGACTGGACTGGATTGCAGCGCTGCATATTTTAGATGGAGACAGATCATTTTTCATATTCCTCAACATAAAGCTAATATGTTCGTATAGGTCAGGGGTAGGCAACCTCGGCTCTTTTATGACTCATGGACTTCAACTCCCAGAATTCCTGAGTCAGCATAGCTGACTCAGGAATTCTGGGTGTTGAAGTCCATGAGTCATAAAAAAGCCGAGGTTGCCTACCCCTGGACAGGTAGTCCTTGACTTACAACCACAACTGGGACGGGAACTTCCATCACTATGCAAGGCAGTTGTTAAGTAAGTTATGTCCAATTTTACATCCTTTTCTGCAATGGTTGTTAAGCAAGTCACAGCACTCGTTAAGGGAATCATGCATTCATTAAGCAAATTTGACTTTCTCTATGGACTTTGCTAGGCAGAAGCCAACCGGGAAAGTTGCAAATGGGGGTCCCATGATCCCAGGACACTGCAATCATTGGGAATACATGCCCATTGCAAAGCATCCACATTTTGATCATGTGATTGGGGGGGGACACTGCAATCACTATCACCACAATAACGGCAAGAAACCCCTTTACCTTGGCACAGTATTGGGATCTGGAGACAGCTTGGATGAGTTTGAGGATGGGCTGGGAAAGGGAGACAATGGGTGAGACGGCCCAGATTAATGCTGTAAACTTCTCGGAGGGGCTGGATCCTGTTAAGGGAGAGAACTGGTGAGTCTGAGATGCTTAAAAAGCTCCTCCAAATCTGTTTTGGCTTACCTGCTGAAATTTAATCCCCGTCTAACCAATTATCATTAGTGCTTCATTTAGTGCCACCAGTGTACATGATATTTCAGAAGATAAAAGGAGAGAGAGGTCTCCACCCATAGGAAACTTGCAATTCAGATTTCATTGCCAGCGAAAACAGCAGAAGAAAGCAGGAGGAATTAATGAAACAGAGATAATAACATCAGTGACAATTTCAGCTATGCTCGTTTACAGCAGGAGCCTACGAGGTGGCTCCATGGACACCAATTGCCAGGTTCCCTGCCCCATTTCACAGTTCCTCTAGCACAGAGGTCTCCAAACTTGGCAACCTTAAGACCTGTAGACTCCATTTTTTTTAGTATTCCTCAGCCAGCCATGCTGGCTGGGGAATTCTGGGAATTGAAGTCCACAAGTCTTAAAGCGGCCAAGTTTGGAGACCTGTGCTCTACATGGCAGCCTAACACAAGGATCTCCCTTCATTTTAACCCCAAACAGTTGTTGAAGATAGACTGAGCTTAAAAAAAAGTGGCAGGCTCAAGATCTCCCCACCAATGGCTGAGATGGCAGCTGAACTCAGTTCTAATCCAAGCCCCCTCTAATTTAATCCCGCATTATCTTTCCTTCCTAAATCTTTCCTTCCTAAAACATCAGGTTCATCATTGGCATCCTTCAGTCTGGAGAGACTATGGTATTGTGCTCTGGAAAGAGGACCTAAGGCAGCATCTGGTGTGGCTAAAAAGGCCAATTCGAGAGTGGCAGTCCCTTCCACACTGAGGGCAGATGCAATCTGTCCCCTGTCCAACCCCCAGATTTCGCTGGTTCCGGGACTGCCTCTTTGCCTCAGCCTGCCGCACAAGTGTCTCTTCGAATTGGAGAAGGCCATGCTGCGTCTTTAGCCTCCAGGCTGAACGATCAGAGGTCAAGGATTCCCAGCTGTTAATGTCCATTCCCAAGGCCTTTAGATCCCTCTTCCAGATATCCTTATATCGCAGTTCAGGTCTCCCTCTGGGGTGCTCTCCCTGCACTAGTTCTCCATACAGGAGATCTTTTGGAATCTGACCATCAGCCATTCTCACGACATGCCCAAGCCAGCGTAGACGTCGCTGTTTCAATAGTGTATACATCAGGGGTGTCAAACTCAATTTCATTGAGGGCCGCATCAGCATTGCGGTTGCCCTTGGGAGGCCGGGTGGGTGTGGCCAGGGTGGGTGCGGCCCACTGGGTGGGTGTGGATGGAGTACGGGGTGGGCATGGCCAGCTCTACATCGTTTGCGTTAAGGGGGCCTGTGGGGGCCTGGGCAGGAGTGGGACAGATCTGAGGGTCTCTGGCAGAAGGGGGTGGGACCGGGGCAAGCGCCAAGGCATGGTCCATTTCTTCGTTCCTCACAAAGGGTGACCCCTCTCCAGCATGCACCCAGGGGGCGGGGCCGACGCGGCAGTAGCTGGTTCCTCGCTGTTTCCAGACGGCCTTGTGGAGCTAAGACTGAATGCGTTTCAGCATAGATGGCCACCACAAAATTGTACATTGGCTCCCGGCCGGCCTGGGCCTGGGCCAAGGCAGAGGGGGCCATTCCCTCACTGTTTCCAGGATGGCTTCACGGGCCACATGAAACCACGTCGCAGGCCGCATCTGGCCCCCGGGCCTTGTGTTTGACATGTCTGGTATACATACTAGAGATTCCAGCACATTCCAGGACTGCGCTATTTGGGACTTTGTCATGCCAGAATCTCAGAGGCTTTTTTGTAAATAAAAAGAGTGTGTGGGTATTGCTCAGCATTTTGTCTGGGCAGCTCTTCTGCATTGATAAAAAAAAGACCATTAAACTGAAGCATTTGAACATCCTCAAGTCTGGAAGAAGCAGAGGCACCAATTTTTACCAGCTTGCCTTTTGGGGAATAGATGGCTTATGACTGTCACAGGACAGGTATCTTCGCCTTAGGACCACCATTGAGCCCAATATTTCTGTTGCTAAGCGAAACAGTTGCCCCATCTTATGACCTTTCCTGCCAAAGTTAAGTGAATCACTGCAGCTGTTAAGGTAGTAACACAGTTGCTTAATGAATCTGGCATCCCCATTGGCTTGATTTGTCAGAGGGTCACAAAAGGGGATCACATGACCCCAGGACACTGGAACCGTCATAAATATGAACCAGTTGCCAAGCGTCCATATTCTAGTCACATGACCGTGGGGATGCTGCAACGATCATAAGTGTGAAAAACAGTCATGTCACTTTTTCCCAGTGATGTTGTTAACTTTGGACGGTCACTAAATGAACGGTTGTAAATCAAGGACTATCTGTTTGTAGCTGTTTGGTGACAATGCTCATGATGCACTGTTGAGACTCCAGCCATGACCCCCAGCCTGATAAAAGAGGGAGTTGGGGATGCCTGGCAGAAATGGATGTGAAACAGCATTTCATTCCATCCTCTCTACTAGACAGTCACTTGTCTGAAATGGTACAGGTTCTCCTGCTCGAGAAGGGGGCTGGACTAGAAGACCTCCAAGGTCCCTTCCAGTTCTATTCTGTTCTGCTCTGCTCTGCTCTGCTCTGCTCTGCTCTGCTCTGCTCTATACTCTATCTCTATCTCTATCTCTACTCTACTCTACTCTACTCTACTCTACTCTACTCTACTCTACTCTACTCTACTCTACTCTATTGTGTGGGTTTCTCCCTTTTGATTTTTCTCCCAGAGGCCTGATTGTAAGCTTCTTGGGAACAGAGGCTGCTCTGCGTTACTTACTTACGTTACTTACACAGCTCTTTGTCAGCCCTTCAAAGGAGATCAGGTCAAGAAACAGGCACAGCAGGGACTCCAGGAATGTTGTTTATTTTAATTTTTGAAAGCCAAGTTTCTCTTTGTCCCATCTTAAAGTAAACAAAATCACAGCAGGGCTGTTTCTTTCTCATGCTTCCTGCAACCTCTGGACTATGTAATCTCTTCTCTTAAGTCTCTGCTCAATGGCTGGTTTCTTCCGCTTCCTCAGACCTTCCCTAAAGTCATCTCTATGATTCTTTACATTATGTAAGGTTAAACCCTCCCCTTAATGATGAATGCAGTGAGTAAATACTAATTTTTAAAAAAGAAAAAGAAAAAGAAAAAAAAAACAGAAGATGGGCATCAGCTTACTTGGGAAACCTTAAAATTTGCAAAAGTACAAAAATGCTTTTAGTGGGGGGAAAATCTAAGACGCAGCTCCTCCTAAAGTAGACCAACCTGCAAGGAAATAAACATTCATGCTAATGATAATATTGAGCCTCTGTAAAAGATGAAACTGGAAAATAGGTGGTGGACATCATGGTGCCTGATGGAGTATCCTGGAAGAGAGACTACAGGTAGTCCTCAACTTACAATCACTTGTTTAGTGACCATTCAAAGTTACAACAGCATTGGAAAAAAATGACCTATGACTGGTCCTTGCACTTACGACTGACCATCACAGCATCCCCAGAGTCACATGATCAAAATTCAGGTGCTTGGCAAACCAGTGTGTATTTATGACCGTTGCAGCATCCCAGGGTCATCGCATCCCCCCCCCCCTTTGCAACCTTCCCAGCCAGCTTCCAACAAGCAAAGTCAATGCAGGAAGTTGGATTCATTTAATGACCACCTGATTCACTTTAACACAGACATGTCAAACACAAGGCCCGGGGGCCGGATGCAGCCCGCGAAGTGGTTTCTTGTGGCCCATGAAGCCATCCTGGAAACAGTGAGGGAACGGCCCCCGCTGCCTTGGCCCTGGCCCAGGCTGGCCAGGAGCCAATGTACAATTTTGTGGTGGCCATCTATGCTGAAACACATTCAGTCTTAGCTCCATAAGTCCCCCCCCCACATGGCCTGAGAGGAACAGTGAGGCTCCTCCAGTGGACCATGCCTTGGCACTTGCCCTGGTCCCACCCCCTTCTGCCAGAGACCCTCAGATCTATCTCACTCCTGCCCAGGCCCCCACAGGCCCCCTTGACGTGAACGGTGTAGAGCTGGCCACACCCACCCAGTAGGCCACATCCACTCCATCCACACCCACCCAGTAGGCTGCACCCACCCTGGCCACACCCACCCAGCCCCCTAAGGGTAACCGCAATGCTGATGCGGCCCTCAATGGAATTGAGTTTGACACCCCTGCTTTAACAACTGCACTGATTCACTTAACAATCATGGCAAAAAAGTCATAAAATTGGGGGCAATGCCCTTCACAACTGCCTTGATTAGCAATAGAAATTCTGGTCCCAACCGTGGTCGTAAACTGAGGACTGTCTGGAACATTCCATGCCGCACCATTTCGGGGTAAGTCCATCACCACCTCAACAACCCCAACCTCTTGAGAGAGAAGGAGTAGGGATTAAAAAATGAAGTTAGAAACGGTGCAGGAGTATCTCCCATACCTTGCTGCAGATAATAGAAAGGGAAGTCGTTGAGATGAGTGGAGTATTCTGGCAAGGCCACCAAGCCTCCGGGAAGCGTGTTCCAGAAGAACTTTGGGCGTGATTCCTGATGAAATATCCGATCTTTTATTATCTAGCAAAGAGAAAGATAGTTGTCATTACACCCCGGAGCTATCTGCACCTGCTAGAAAAGAAGGCGTCTCTTGGATGTGAGATCAAGCTCAACCGTTCTTCTTGGCCCCAAGTAGAAAAAGCTACACTAATCAGGAAGTCCAGATTCAAATTTGGCATGCCATTATTGTCTTTTTGATGCCTCCTCTGTAATTCCACTGGTTAGTTACCAGCAGGCATATTGTGTGCCTGAATAAGGAAACTATGGGTGAGGCAGTCAGAAAAAGAACTGAAAGTGTTACATAAATGTTAACTATTACTATAAAATTAAGCAAAGCATGCTAGACTGAAATATACCTCGTACCAACTCTGTGCAGGAGTTAAGAGTTGCCTTCAAAATAAAAGCAAAGCAGTTATATTGCAGGCATGGGGTACAAGTATTTATATTTGATTTCTAATTTACGAATGACTTCACATGAGCCGGACAGGGATAGCCAAAGAGGCCATAAAATGCCCAGATCTGCTATAGACATTCGTCCTGGCTAAAAACAATTTGAATAGGTCAAGAGGAAAAAGAGTTCTTGCTCACTTATATTTATATCTATATACCTAGATGTATTTTTAAGCATGATATGATATTGTTAGGACACTTGGTGGGGAAGGTGAAACTTAAACTCTTTGATTTCCCTTCCCCATTTGTCCAAACTTTTGACCAGAAGGAAAAAAGAAACGATGTTTTCCAAGGTAAGAGAGATGGTGGGGAGGTTGAAGAAGGAAGGAAAGAAAATGCAGACATAAAACCTTAAGAGACAGAAGGCAGCTGTTTGGCAGCTTATCTCATAAACGGCAACTCAGCCCAGGTGGTGAGAAAGCCCAGAAGCAAATGTTTCAAACCATTCAAAGAGACTCTGCCTTTTATTGGCATCTATGAATTTCTTCTAGTTCTGGGTCCAAGGAAGGCAAGTTGAAGTCCCTTTGCACTCATAGATCTGAAAAACTTCACCACTAACTGGTGTATCAAGCAACAGATAGGAAGGGTGGTGGGTAGCAGGGAGATTGGTCCAATAATAGCCATCTCCGTGTGGTTTAGAGTAGACCAGCTGTGTGGAGCGTGACTTAAGGATCAGTGAAGCCATGAAGGGAATTACATGAAGTTTAACCACACCTTCTCCCCTCCTTCTCTCTCCTCCAACTGCTCAGCCCTGACCTAGAACAAAGAACTACTGGAAGGAGGTTGATGGATCATGGGGACACACCTTGAGGCTTGACACACCTTGACACACCTAGACCAACTTGAAAGCTAAAGGTTCCCACCTCCTGTGGCTTCCTTTGGCCGTCATGCCAAGCCATTATGTGCTGAATATGTTGCATGAAGCTAGCCAATTTGTTTCAGAGTTGACCGTGTTGTGTGAACCTACTCACTGCACTCTACAAGCCACGTTTTATGGCTTGTCACAGGAATCCATGTAATTTATTTAGCAATCCCCAATTCACCATGACATGTGACCCCAATCATTGAAACAGAAATAATTACAGATGAATTATTTGGGCAAATGGTGGGCACACTTCTGCAGCTTACCTCAAGAGTGGTTTGCACAATCTTCTCCACAGAAGAAAAATACGTTTCCCATAAAAACTGAGTTTGCTGTTGGAAGGCTAGGATTTTGTCATTGTTCAGACATCGGACTGTAGATGGAATCTGTGAGGAAGCAGCAAGAACAGAAGACAGGAAGGGGAGAATGCAGGGTAGTTTATGACAGAGGGAAGAACCGCAATCATTTTTACAGAGATACTTCAGTATCTTTTTTTACAGTATTGCGTTAGTTATCCAAGCTTCTAGAGATCTTATACTGCTTATAAGTTTCAGTGAAATTATTACAATGGATGTAATTTTCCTTCTTTGTATTTTATGCTGCTATATAGCTGAAATACAGTCTTGTTGTTTTGATGGAGGAAAACATCAAAAAATCTTCCTTCAACAACAAAAAGCACCAAAAAAGGGATGATGTGGAGATAAACAAACCAACACTAGACCAAAAAGTTTGGTCTAGTGATTAAAGCACCTGTTTAGAAACCAGGAGACTATGAGTTCTAGTCCCACCTTAGGCATGAAACCAATTGGATGACTTGGGGCCAATCACAAGGAGACTGTAAGTTCTAGTCCCACCTTAGGCACGAAAAACCAATTGGGTGACTTGGACCCAATCACAAGGAGACTGTAAGTTTATTTTATTTATTTTATTTATTTCATTTATACCCCGCCCTTCTCCCGGAGGACTCAAGTTCTAGTTTCGCCTTAGACATGAAAGCTGGCTGGGTAATATTGGGCCAGTAATTCTCTCTCAGCCCAACCCATCTCACTAAAGTTGTTATTGTGCGGAAAAACAGGAGGAGGAAGCAGTATTAAGAAGGTACGCTGCCTTTCGTTATTGAAAAAATAATAAAAGGTGGGACGTAAATAAATAAACAAACTGCAGAATGGACATTGACTAAGCTATGTATGCATATTAGAGCTATTTATCCGCAGAATTGATATTTCTCTGACCAACAAGGTCCGTGCCTGCCACAAATGCAATCTATCCAGGACGCTCAAGGCAATGTCATAATAAAGGTTACAGTAATTCGGCTACCAGAATTCCACCCATTCCTAGATCAGTTTCTCTATTTAAATCAATGTTTAAGTTACCCACAGCAAGAACAAGAAATAAGTGAGACGTGATCAATGAAAGGCCATATAAAAATACTCCAAGGAGGTAAATAAATGAATACCTCCAGATTCCAAATAATTGCTGTACTTTATACAGGAAAATGGAAGCCTTTTATGCACGCTCCCACAGGGTGGGTCTCCTCAGGGTGC